GCCAGGATAAGGTGGTTGAGGTCTTTAGGGGGGCGAGTGTGGAGCTGGTTTGGTCAGCGTCCAGTACACTCAACTGAAGACGCCGATCAATACCGGAGCAGCGGCTTTTAAGCCGGGTGCTGCGTCTGGAGGGGGCGGAGTTGCGTGACGCTCCTGCGTCCGACGTGGCCGCGTCACGGGGAAGCGACGGAGGAAGCCTCCCACGCGCCTGCGCAGGACGTCGCTGTAAAGCAGCGGCGGACGTCTCCCTCTGACGCTGGCTGCCCGGGGCCACCGACCCACGGCGCGCCTGCGCAGTCCGTCCCTGAGCCGCGGCGCCAGCACTGACCAGGCTGCGGCTGCTACAATTCTAACTGATCCCTAGCTACATCTTGGGCAGAAGAAGCTGAGGCATCGGTAGGGTTGCCACCTTTTCTTCTATCGAAACCCAAACACTCTAGCCACGCACACATTTTTTTGGGAGCATGAGTCACGGCTTCATAAGTAGCGCCACCCATTCAAATGTAAATAACACAGTTTAGACTATTTTCAGTGGGGGGCCAGTAGCCCCTATCTTAATTTTGTTTTTCCCCTGTCTGCATGACATGTGTCCCAGGTTTCTGCTGCCATGAAACCCGGACACAGGATTCAAAACCCGGACTGTCCGGGTGAATTCGGGAAAGGTGGCAACCCTAGGCATCGGTGGACCTAATGTGCAAGGCAGCTGTCTAGTCGCGGCAGGATACCTTTGTGAAAATATTACCGAGTTGAAGTATTGTCGCAACAGGACCTCCCTTTTGGCCGCAGTTGTCCCGCCCTGAAGAGCTAGGCTTGCTTGGCATGTGCTTGCCTATCCTCTTAGGTTGTTGGCCTGGAAGATGATTGGAGAAATGTTCCGTTATAACTTACCGATAACGGGATTTCTATGAATCTTCCAGGACAGCAAGACGACTTCCCACCCTGGTTTTTGGTTATGCATCCAGATGTTAATGGGTGTGAGTTTTTTCCCCCTCATGCACTGGTGGAGGTAGTCAACTGAGGGACGAGGGGGTGGGAGGGTATTAAACTGCTTTCTTAATTGTGTTTCCTGTAGAAGGAGGAACCAATCATCTCTCACGTTGCTGTCCTGCAAGATTCACAGAAAACCTGTTATCGGTAAGTTATAACAGAACATTTTTCCTTTTCCTCATTGTCCGGATTATAATTGGGGTAATCCCGGATATAACATCAGAAGAGTGGACCACCAAGCAGCCGGCAAAATGTTAAAACATAACATAGACTGTAATATGACTGTAACACACGGTAGGGATCTTACTTATTGTCAATTTTACACACACACAGGAAGTGACCTAATGAGCACGCAGGAAGTGATGTCATGTATACATGGGAAGTGATGTAAGGGGCACACAGGAAGTAATGTCATGTGTAAATAGGATGTTCCGGGTGAGTTGGGAGGAAGTTGAGAGGAGACATTGCTGGAACTGGCAGCAGAGGAGGTAAGAAGATGTCTTATTTGGTCCTACCATATATGATTTTCCGTCATTGATCTCCATCAAATGCTGCTACCCATATAGATATATAGAGGATAGATACATCCTAAATATAGAGCCATTTATCCAACTGTCCATCCAGAGCCGCCATTTATAGACCAGATACATCCTAAATATAGAGCCATTTATCCCACTGGCCATCCAGAGCCGCCATTTATAGACCAGATACATCCTAAATATAGAGCCATTTATCCCACTGGCCATCCAGAGCCGCCATTTATAGACCAGATACATCCTAAATATAGAGCCATTTATCCCACTGGCCATCCAGAGCCGCCATTTATAGACCAGATACATCCTAAATATAGAGCCATTTATCCCACTGGCCATCCAGAGCCGCCATTTATAGACCAGATACATCCTAAATATAGAGCCATTTATCCCACTGGCCATCCAGAGCCGCCATTTATAGACCAGATACATCCTAAATATAGAGCCATTTATCCCACTGGCCATCCAGAGCCGCCATTTATAGACCAGATACATCCTAAATATAGAGCCATTTATCCCACTGGCCATCCAGAGCCGCCATTTATAGACCAGATACATCCTAAATATAGAGCCATTTATCCCACTGGCCATCCAGAGCCGCCATTTATAGACCAGATACATCCTAAATATAGAGCCATTTATCCCACTGGCCATCCAGAGCCGCCATTTATAGACCAGATACATCCTAAATATAGAGCCATTTATCCCACTGGCCATCCAGAGCCGCCATTTATAGACCAGATACATCCTAAATATAGAGCCATTTATCCCACTGGCCATCCAGAGCCGCCATTTATAGACCAGATACATCCTAAATATAGAGCCATTTATCCCACTGGCCATCCAGAGCCGCCATTTATAGACCAGATACATCCTAAATATAGAGCCATTTATCCCACTGGCCATCCAGAGCCGCCATTTATAGACCAGATACATCCTAAATATAGAGCCATTTATCCCACTGGCCATCCAGAGCCGCCATTTATAGACCAGATACATCCTAAATATAGAGCCATTTATCCCACTGGCCATCCAGAGCCGCCATTTATAGACCAGATACATCCTAAATATAGAGCCATTTATCCCACTGGCCATCCAGAGCCGCCATTTATAGACCAGATACATCCTAAATATAGAGCCATTTATCCCACTGGCCATCCAGAGCCGCCATTTATAGACCAGATACATCCTAAATATAGAGCCATTTATCCCACTGGCCATCCAGAGCCGCCATTTATAGACCAGATACATCCTAAATATAGAGCCATTTATCCCACTGGCCATCCAGAGCCGCCATTTATAGACCAGATACATCCTAAATATAGAGCCATTTATCCCACTGGCCATCCAGAGCCGCCATTTATAGACCAGATACATCCTAAATATAGAGCCATTTATCCCACTGGCCATCCAGAGCCGCCATTTATAGACCAGATACATCCTAAATATAGAGCCATTTATCCCACTGGCCATCCAGAGCCGCCATTTATAGACCAGATACATCCTAAATATAGAGCCATTTATCCCACTGGCCATCCAGAGCCGCCATTTATAGACCAGATACATCCTAAATATAGAGCCATTTATCCCACTGGCCATCCAGAGCCGCCATTTATAGACCAGATACATCCTAAATATAGAGCCATTTATCCAACTGTCTAATATACTAGTTCTGCATTAAAGGGAATTTTACTTAAACTTAGTTGAACCTGTTAAAAGAAGCAGTCTGAGGTGTGAACTCTGGAGGAACTCTGTGTAGACATCATTCATCCCGGGACAGTCCAGATAATTCTCAGTTTATTATCCATCTACAGAGAGGAGAGTCCGGTATGGATCACATGACCACATCAATGAGGATGGACAAAGATCAAAGTCTCACGACTGAGAGGATATTAGACCTCACCCTGGAGATCATCTACCTGCTGACCGGGGAGGTGAGGATCAGATAAAGTTACTTTTCTCTAGCAACAAAGACCCAACTGGAGAGGTGAGGAGACTTCTGGGAAGTTTGTAGTGATAATTGTCACTTTCTTTACTCAGGATTATAAAGTAGTGAAGAAAAGAATTGATGATCCATTAACAACCAGCTGCTGTCTTCATGTGACATCAACCATCATGCTGCCTTCATCTCCATGCAGGACAGCAGAGATGAACAATATCAAGATTCTAGAAGTCACCAACAAGATCACCGAGCTGCTGTCGGGAGAGGTGAGCGGTGCCGGGAATTCTGGGACATGATCCAGGAACAGACAAGGGATGTGTCTGGGTGGTGACTGTGACTGTATCATTGTGTGTGTCAGGTTCCTATAAGGTGTCAGGATGTCTCTGTCTATCTCTCCATGGAGGAGTGGGAGTATCTAGAAGGACACCGGGATCTCTACAAGGACGTCGTGATGGAGAATGAGCCGCCCCTCACATCACCGGGTAAGAGGAGAGAGCAGTACGGAGGGTCCACCTAGATCCCCCATCATCTGATACACACATAGAAACAATGTATTCAGTCAGTGTGTGTGTTTCCTACAGATGGATCCAGTAAGAGGAACCCACCAGAGAGATGTCCCCGTCCTCTGTATTCCCGGGATTCCACACAGGAAAATCTCACCATCCCCCACTATGATCAGGTAGGTGGGACTCAACATCCAAAACTTTAAAAACATGTTAAAGTATGAGACGAAATTCTTCTACGTAATCGTTTTTTTCTTTCTACAAACATATTCAATTATTTTGGGTTTAGGATGAAGAACTGACAAACATCAAAGTTGAGGTTAAAGAGGAAGAAGAAGAAGAAATGTTGGTGAGGGGAGCTCAGCAGTCTATGGAGGAGGGGGAGATGATTAGGAAAAGTAAACGGGAGGAATCTTCTCTACATATGGACACATGTAAGTAAAGACATGTATCCTCGAGTTCACCCCCCTTACAAACATCCTCAATATAATGTCCATCTCCATTCCTCAATATAACGTCATGTCCCCAACAAATGAGGAGGAGATACTGTACACCATATGAAGGTCCATCTCCATTCCTCAATATAACGTCATGTCCCCTACAAATGAGGAGGAGATACTGTACACCATATGAAGGTCCATCTCCATTCCTCAATATAACGTCATGTGACCAACAAATGAGGAGGAGATACTGGACACCATATGAAGGTCCATCTCCATTCCTCAATATAACGTCATGTGACCAACAAATGAGGAGGAGATACTGGACACCATATGGAAGGTCCATCTCTATTCTCACTGTCTCTGGATTGTATTCTATGTCAGTATTTTTTTGTGGTTACACCCAATTCCATGGGAGAGCCCTCTGAAACTGTTGAGTGCTGCACCAACACATTTTTTTAAAATGGCTTTTTCAACAGATGGAAGCCATGCCTGGTCTACCTCTGAGGAACAACTGATGTCTCCAGGTTATAATGCAGAAGATAATGACATTGCAGAACATTCACCAAAAGTGAATCCCATCACTCAAATTACACATCAACTCCCTTCCTGCCTGGTAATATCAATGGACCCTTCTAACGCTGAGGGAGCTTCTGATCAATCACATACTATGACTTCAGATGTCCATCTGAGATCCCAAAGGACAGATAGACCATCAGATCCATCTAATCCCAAGAAATCTCTAAGCCATGAAGGAGAGAGTTCATTGTCATGTTTGGTGTGTGGAAAATCTTTTAGCGAGCACAGAAACCTTCTTAGACATCAGAGAAGCCACACAGGTGAGCGTCCCTATTCATGTTCACAGTGTGGAAAAAGTTTCATTCACAAAGCGGATCTTCTCAGACACCAGAGAATTCACACTGGTGAGCGTCCCTACTTATGTTCAGAGTGTGGGAAAAGTTTCATACATAAAACGCACCTTGTTACACACCAGAGAATCCACACGGGTGAGCGTCCTTTTTCCTGTTCAGAGTGTGGGAAAAGTTTCACTGGCAAGAGTGTACTTCTTACACATCAGAGAATTCACACTGGCGAGCGTCCCTTTTCCTGTTTAGATTGTGGAAAATCTTTCACTGAGAAAAGTGTTCTTCTTACGCACCAGAGAAGTCACACAGGAGAGCGCCCCTTCCCTTGTTTAGAGTGCGGGAAATGTTTCCTTCAAAAAGGAGACCTTCGTAGACACCAGAGAACTCACACAGGCGAGCGTCCTTATTCCTGTACAGAGTGCGGGAAAAGTTACTCTCGGAAAGCAGAACTTCGGATTCACCAGAGGATCCATACAGGCGAATACCCCTTTTTATGTTCGGATTGCGGGAAAAGTTTCAACTATAAAGAAAAACTTCGCAGGCACCAGAAAACTCACACGGGCGAGCGCCCTTTCTCATGTTCCGATTGCGGTAAATGTTTTATTGAGAAAGGCAAGCTTCAAGCACACCAGAGAAGACACACGGGTGAACGTCCTTATTCGTGTTCAGAGTGCGGGAAATCTTTTTACGAGAAAAGAAATGTTCTCAATCACCAGCGAACTCACGCTGGCGAGAGTGCGGGAAATGTTATACTCATAAAGGAAATATAATGATAAAAGTACATGTATTTGCTGAAGCTGTTAACATCTGTATGGTGGCATTTAACAGGTGGGACTGTTCAAACCATCCAACAACCACCTTTAGAGTCATGTTATAGGTGGAGTCTGATGGGTTTCTGTTGGCTCCTCCTATTTGCTGGAGACTCTATTGGTGAGGCCTGCATGCTAGGGCTGCTCTCTCTTCCCTGGTCACAAGATCTTTCCCCATTACAACCCCAATTCCCCAAAAATTGGGACGCTGCTTAAAGTCTCCATAAAACCAGAATGCAATGATTGGCCAATCTCATCAACCCGCATTTTATCCACAACGAGGTCATATATTGAAATTGGCAGCAACAGGTCTCAAAAAAGTTGGGGGCAGGGCCATGTTTACCTCGGAGTAGCATCCCCTCTTCTTATAGCAACACTCTGTAAATGTCTGGGAACTGAGGAGACCAGTTGCTGGAGTTTTGGGAGAGGGATGTTGTCTCGTTCTTGGCTGATATCGGATTCTAACCGCTCAACAGTCCCGGGTCCAAGTCGTGTTTTATGTTTCAAGATGCGGCAAATATTTGCAATTGGGGAAAAGTCTGGACTGCAGGCGGGCAAGATAGTTAAGCATCCGGACTCCTCTACTACGAAGCCGTGCTTCGTAGTCCATCTCCATCTTCATAGATGCAGTATGCAGAGATGCCCATTCCATACACACTAATGCCCCCCCATACCATCAGAGATGCCCATTCCATACACACTAATGCCCCCCCATACCATCAGAGATGCCCATTCCATACACACTAATGCCCCCCCATACCATCAGAGATGCCCATTCCATACACACTAATGCCCCCCCATACCATCAGAGATGCCCATTCCATACACACTAATGCCCCCCTATACCATCAGAGATGCCCATTCCATACACACTAATGCCCCCCCATACCATCAGAGATGCCCATTCCATACACACTAATGCACCCCCATACCATCAGAGATGCCCATTCCATACACACTAATGCCCCCCCATACCATCAGAGATGCCCATTCCATACACACTAATGCCCCCCTATACCATCAGAGATGCCCATTCCATACACACTAATGCCCCCCTATACCATCAGAGATGCCCATTCCATACACACTAATGCCCCCCTATACCATCAGAGATGCCCATTCCATACACACTAATGCCCCCCTATACCATCAGAGATGCCCATTCCATACACACTAATGCCCCCCTATACCATCAGAGATGCCCATTCCATACACACTAATGCACCCCCATACCATCAGAGATGCCCATTCCATACACACTAATGCACCCCCATACCATCAGAGATGCCCATTCCATACACACTAATGCACCCCCCTACCATCAGAGATGCCCATTCCATACACACTAATACACCCCCCTACCATCAGAGATGCCCATTCCATAAACACTAATGCCCCCCCATACCATCAGAGATGCCCATTCCATACACACTAATACACCCCCCTACCATCAGAGATGCAGGCTTTTGAGCTGAGCCCTGAATCTAAGTTGGAAGCTCCCTCTCCTCTTTAGTCCGGAGGACGCGGCGCCCATGGTTGCCAAAAAGAATGTCTAATTTCAATATGTCTGACCCCAGAACGGTTTTCCACTTTGCGACAGACCATTTGAAATGAGCTTTGGCCCAGGGAAGACGGCGGCGCTTCTGGATCATGTTCAGATACGGCTCCTTCTTTCCATGATGGAGCTTTATCTTGTGTTTTTGGATGGCACGGCGAGCTGTGTTCACAGACAGGGATTTTGGGAAGTGTTCCTGAGCCCATGCAGTGATGTCCATTGCAGTGCCGTCTGGGGGCCTGATGATCACGGGCATCCAATATTGTGACTCGGCCTTGTCCCTTGTGCGCAGAGATTTCTCCGGATTTTCAGAATCTTTTGATATTATGTACGGTAGATCAGGGGCTCAAAATTTCAAGTCATGAGCTACTAGCCAAGCCTTAAGAGTTACTCGCCACCAGTTGCTCCAACTAACCCTTACCGTGCCCCTGCCTTAAAGGAGAACTATGACATGAGTGATTTCCACTCAGGTCGGCCTCATAGTTCTAGCCGACCTGTGACAATGAGACTGTCACTGGTCGGCTCAGTAAATCGGGAGGTGAGCGAACATATACCGGGTTCGCTCACCTCTCGATCCTGTCACGGCTCTCTGCCGTGACAGGGGAGGGGCTGGATTCCCCCCTCCCCGCTCCGATCTGCCAGCACTGACTGGAGGAACGGACGGGGGAGGGGGCGGGTACAGCTTGCTCTGCCTCTAGATAGGCAGAGCCAGCTGTCACTCACACAGCTGGGCGGATCCCGACGTCTAAGTCGGGATCCGCTCCGTCTGCGGCTTCTCAGTATACCGCGAGCTGTAGCTCCCTATATACTGAGCTTAGGGTGACGGGAGGACGCTAGTTTGTGTCCTCCCGTTACCCTAAGGAGAACTATGGGGAAAAGCCCTGACCCCATAGTTCTCCTTTAACTCCGCCAGACCAGTGTGACGCAGATTACAGAGGTCAGCAGTACAGAGGTCAGTAATGTAAAGCGCAGTACAGAGGTCAGTAATGGAACGCACAGTACAGAGTTCAGTAATGGAATGCACAGTACAGAGGTCAGTAATGGAATGCACAGTACAGAGGTCAGTAATGGAATGCACAGTACAGAGGTCAGTAATGGAATGCACAGTACAGAGGTCAGCAATGGAATGCACAGTACAGAGGTCAGCAATGGAACGCACAGTACAGAGGTCAGCAATGGAACGCACAGTACAGAGTTCAGTAATGGAACGCACAGTACAGAGGTCAGTAATGGAACGCACAGTACAGAGTTCAGTAATTGAACGCACAGTACAGAGTTCAGTAATGGAACGCACAGTACAGAGTTCAGTAATGGAACGCACAGTACAGAGATCAGTAATGGTACGCACAGTACAGAGGTCAGTAATAGAACGCACAGTACAGAGGTCAGTAATGGAACGCACAGTACAGAGGTTAGTAATGGAATGCACAGTACAGAGATCAGTAATGGAACGCACAGTACAGAGGTTAGTAATGGAACGCACAGTACAGAGGTCAGTAATGGAACGCACAGTACAGAGGTCAGTAATGGAACGCACAGTACAGAGTTCAGTAATTGAACGCACAGTACAGAGTTCAGTAATGGAACGCACAGTACAGAGATCAGTAATGGTACGCACAGTACAGAGGTCAGTAATAGAACGCACAGTACAGAGGTCAGTAATGGAACGCACAGTACAGAGGTTAGTAATGGAACGCACAGTACAGAGGTCAGTAATGGAACGCACAGTACAGAGGTCAGTAATGGAATGTACAGAGCA